TTGTTAGGGAATATTCATTGAATCTAATTTCTCCAATCATAGCTTTTAAACATTACTTTACAGAATTTTTAATAGAATAAAATAAAACATTTTAAATGGCTAAGATCACATAATGAAAAGCAACTTTACTTTATTGTTTGATTTATTAGTTCATTATTGAATTCATGTCACTTAATTGGATTATGATATCTGGCATCGGCCAATCAAAGTTTTCAATAAGATATACAATTATGTAATTCTATCATCCCATCCCACTACTTAAACATCCATTTTTCAATTTTTAAAAAATTAATATTAATGATTTTTTTACTTGACACAAGTTAACGGATCACATTAAAATTATTTATTTATCTTAAGGTGATTAAGCTGTATAATAATTATTCATCTTAAAACTTACATAAATTAATTATAAATAGTTTATATTCACATAAAATATTATTTTTAATTATTGGCATTTGATTTAAAGTTATTGACAAATAACTTAAAGATATAACATAAATCTGTCTATTGTGGAACGAGATGGATGAAATATCAATTTCAATAGATACTAATAACATTTTTTTATTACGATAATATCTTGTATTATTATAGTCAAAGATGAACTTTATATGCATGTGTAGAAATTTGACCAAGACCGTTATCTTTTCGGCAGTTGCTTCCTGCACCCATCGATTTCTTACTGCAACGCCACAATAACAGGAAAAGACTAGAGCACTGCCCCCACTGATTATTTATATTCTACAAAGTCTTTTTCAGAAGGTAAAATGATAATTTTTTATTTGAAAATTTGATGGGATGTGCCAAGAAATTTATGGGTTGCAGGAAGTAAAAGCCTATTTTTTTTTTAGAATTTAAAACTGTAAGATCCAAATGGGTGTTACTCCCTCCACCCCCACACGTCTCTTCCTCCACCTCCCCAATTTTCTAAAATGCCAATTATATCCTTCTAAAATGACAATTATATCCTCAAAAGTTAAAATTTTTTATTTTTATTATTTTAATATTTTAATTTATTTAAAACTTCTGATTTACTTCCCTCTGCACCTCTTCCTCTCTTCCATTTTCGTTTACCTTTCTCTCTTCCGTTAAGCTTCTTCTCCACCTATAACAAATTCATATTTTAACAAATTCATATTTTAACAAAATTATTACGTTTAAAAACTAACCATATATAACATTTAAAATTATAAATTTAAATATAAATTACTGTAAATAAAATAAACAAATAAAATAAAAACGAAACGTAAAAGGAACACTGCCTCTGGACGGATGACATCCTTCAACGGATGTCAACATCCCTTAGGCAGTGTTCCTTTTACGTTTCGTTTTTATTTTACTACGTTTTGCGGCTCATGCAAGGATTATAGGCTTGGATATTAAAAGGATTATTGGAAGTATGGGAAGGATTTAGGGTTTAGGATTATTGGAAGGATTATGACTACGTACCTGGAGAGGAACCACGACAAGGACACTACACCATAAACGCACTGCACCACGTACTGCACCGAGAACAAGAAGAAGATTGTTTGATAATTCTTTTCACGATCACCAAGCTAAGCTTTGTAGAAAAATATTTTACTCATACAAGAAACTACGTAGGTTATCAGTGAAATATGTTATAAATGAATAAAATTAAAAAACAACAATTTTAAAAATAAAATTTTACTGAGGGGCAAAATAGTAAAGGAAAGGTGGAGGAAGGGGCAAAATAGTAAAGGGGAGGTGGAGGAAGAGATGTGTGGGGGTGGAGGGAGCAACACCCGATCCAAATAGTAAGGACATTCGGGTTAGGACCAGAGTCCATAAAGTCGAGACCTTACCCTCCCAAAAAACAAGCCTGTTTATCTGTTTATGCGAAACCACCATGCGAATGAGTTCTTTCTTCTTGCACCTTTATAAATATATTAAGAAGGTATAAATTATCTGAGTCAGATTTAGGGTTGTATAATTTGAAAATACATTTAGATTTCACAGTATGAAATATGGAAAGATTTTTTAAACTGATTTTAATATAGAAATGAGTTACATATTTTTTAGTTAAAGTCTTAAATACATTTTATTAGATCCAAAAGTTATTTCAGATGGATGATACAATTGATAATACTTTTTAAAATGTGAAAATATATTTTAGATTGTTAATTTGAAAATGTATTCCAAATTCTATAATGCATTATATATATTTGTATTATATATATATAGATAGATAGATGAGTTAAATATATTTTTAGACTCCAAACTATTAAAAAACATATGTTTAGTTCATACATTAAATTATAAACTATTTCATCTTTAATGTATAAAATTTATTAAAAATATCATTTTCAAATGACATTTGATGATTATATTTTAATTTACTAGAACTTTGTCTTTCACATAAGAAATATTCAACATGTCATTTTTGTTGGAAATTATATTTTACATTGATTTTCATACACGATAACAGAATAAAGTTGTTTTATGTATGAATAAAATTAATATGTGAAATAAATGATAAGTGATTGTTTAGTTTTTTATGTTAATTTTAAATTTATTAATTATGTACAAAATTTTGGGAATTTTGTCTTAGTCTAGCATTTTTTTTTTCATAAACTTTCAATTTTCTTCCTAATGCATGGTTTGAGGTCTTTTAGATGCATGTGAGTTTTCGTGTTAATATTTGAGGTTTTGATTCTTGAGGTAGTCAATAAGCTTTTACAGTATTTTATTTCATCATGTCTCCTAAAAAGTCACAAATTTTTATAGAAAGCAAGAGAAACCAATTTTAAGTTTAGTTGTAAGTGAATTTGGGTTGTAGCAATGAGTTTACATGCTTACGATATTTTGTTGCTAATGAGTTGTTGAATAATTGAACATTTTAGAATTATGTTGTTTATATGAATAATTGTGTTAAGAAGTGAACTTTAAGTCTAACTTGATCATACAAAACTTTTGTACAATAATTTGATTTTGTTGATATTTTTAGAGTATAGCCACAATTTTGCTTCATATCTAGGCATGACAAAAAGGATAATGCAATCGAATGTTCTATTTTTCAAGGGAGTATTTATGAAAGTAATGGTGTGAGTGGTACAAAAAGGTTGAAAAAAAGAAAGGCCACAAAATATCAAAGTATAACTTTTGGGGTGTAGAGAATGATTGTAGTATCAAACAATAACAACTATTAGAAGAAATAAAGGATAGAATGAGTTGGAGGAAAACTAATTTAACAATCATATAAAAAATAGGATTTTAATGACAATATTTATGAGCACCATTAAAAATATTTTGTTTGTGATATTGATATTGAAGTGTATGGGCTAATATGTCAACTATCTAAACTGTGTAAATCATATAAAGTATGAAAATTGTTCTAAAATTCAAGTATTAAGTCGAATCAATTATCTGAATCATTTAGATGATGTTTGGAGAATGTACTCTTATGTAAAAATAAGTTTAATTTGATGATCCAATAATTAAAATTTTATTAATAAATTTTTGAAATGAACTTTTAATTAATATTTACATAATCATTGTTTAAATTGATCTAACATTAAAATGAATATGATTTAACTAATGAAGACCGTCCCGAATAATCATACGTCACAAAGTTGTTATAGAGATAATTGTTTGTGATTTTCTTTTTTGAGAGTGTTTTAGTTGTAATGGTTTTAGAAAGTGAGAAATAAGTAGTAACGAGTGGTGATTCACAAATATGTTGTCGGTGTGAGTATGCAACAACAACAGAAGAAACTGATGTTAGCGCCAAAATTTGAATAAAAGTCATCCTCGGTTTACGTGCATGGCTGCATGGTCCCCTCCATTACTCTCTTTCTTTAATATTCCAGATAATTTATAGAACTTTCAACCGAATACTCCATTCTGTAGGACCCACAATAATATCATCTCAACACTCCACGCATAAATGTTATTCCTACCTAAAAAAATGTCTTACCATAACCCTCAAAATTCTGGTTTCTGAGAACCAAAAAATTTACTGACATAAGTTTTAAGGTTCTCTTTTGATCATTTTTATGTACTTAGACAGGCGTGTTCAGAATAAATTAACTTTTATTGTAATTTAGTAATTTGAATCTGATCATTCCTGATTTATGTTTTAATGTTTTCTATATAAAAAAGTTACCAAAGATTGCATGAACATAAAATCAATTTAGACCCAGATAATTCCTTATATATGGATCATTTAAGATATCTGGTGTACCAAAAATCAGCAGCTGCATCGTCATGAATGAAAAACACAGTTTCAGCAACATACAATCGGTGTTCTTGCCTGCTTCTATACAGGCTATGTGAATTGCCAGAGTTCAGTAGCTTTCGTTGCAGGGCACGAGTTCTTGAAGAAAGAAACAATCATGTGCCACTTTCTTTTGCAAGTGCAATCACTTAATTTAACCTTAGAATTCAGGACAGAGGTGGGTGGAGGACTTAAACTCTTGCAAGTGTTCGACAGTGACCTCATCTTATCTTTATATCAGATTCATCATTTTTTTATTTTTTTTTTCACTTTTCATTTCTCAGTGCCAACCTGACATTAGATTGGGGACCATGCATGTCTTTCTATCAGATAAAGAAGGTTTTTTTCTCCTTCACAAGCCCTGATTAGGGACGGTTGGCAATTATAGCTGGCTTTACTATATAACCAAGAGTACCACTAATTCATCTCAATCATCCATACTGAACTTTTTTGTTAATGATTGCGTATTAAGTAATTGCTCTTATTGCAGTTCCTAAAACAAATTCGTATGCTTAAAGTTAACCACTGCAAGAATCATGTATACCATTTGATTTAGGGGTCTAAGGTTTCATTCAAATTTGGCTCTAAGAATTTGATACTTGTTTTAATCTTTTAGCCACCCACCACCTTTAGCTTTGCATCTTAATCAATGACACTACACTTTAAACACCACGAAGTCAAAATCAACATAATATTAGTAACAGTTTAGATACTAAAGTCTCCATTTTGCACTTTCATTCATTTTCATATAGAATGAAAGAAATTTTGAAAGAGAGAGAGCATGCCTTAGAAAAAAAGAAAAAAAAAGGTACTGAAATCAAACGAAATACAGCACTTTACAGTACAATTGTATTTCTCTTTTAGTAAACTTTGGAAATAGTTACCATCTGCTTCATCTGCTCCACGTCTCTTTAAATGCGAACATGAGTAAGACAAAATTGTAGAACACACGAGAGGTAGAGCAGATAAACACTGCATCTGCTCTAGAACACTTCAACCGGGAGAGAGAAAAACCTTGCCTTTTCACAAATGCTGCTTAGAGAAACCTTTCGCAAGACCAAGGTTATACTTCACAAAACCCTCCGTAGTTTCAAGTCTGTCATCTTTGGAGGGTACCAAAAACTACCCAGATCGCTCTCCTTCAATCCATTCCTTGGTCGCAGTGGCAATGCCACAACTTACACGAGTGATCAATTCTACAATGAGTTTTATGACATGCTGCAGTCTGATCTGAACAGAATAAAGAGGGGTGCCGACAACAGCAGCATGAGCAGGTCGAGAGAGGAAAGGGAAGATGCTGCAAAAGCTGAAAGCTTGACGGAAGAAAGCTCAGAAAAGAGCGTTGGTGAAGTTGGAGAAGTGGAAGAGAAGAAAAGCAAAGGGAGCTGTGAACTGGGAAAGAAAGAGGGTGTTTATGACTTGGCGCAAAAGATGAAGGAATTGGAGATGATGAATACGGGTGATGTTGAGCACGTGCTAGACATAGAAGAGGCACTTCACTACTACTCACGCCTCAAAAGTCCTGTTTATTTGGATATTGTGGACAAGTTCTTCAATGACATGCACACTGAATTCTCAGTTCAAGAGTCCTCTATCAGCGTCAAACGCTCCAAGTCAAAGGGAAGACTTGGCTCGATCAGGTTGTAGATAAGTTAATCTTTACGCAGAGAATGTTGAAGTGTATATGAAATTGAAAACTCTTTTGTTTTGCCATTTTGTGTCTCTGGTTTTCCTTCTCCCAGTGTGCTCAGAGCTATTTGAATTTGCTTGGAGTGAATTCCCGCTATTTATACTTCTCTTTTTCTTTTTTACATTCTGGTCGTTTCAATCTTCAATTGAATCTATTTTGTACACAATAAAAATGAATTATTTGGTGAGAATTTCTAGCCCAGTTCGTCAAATTTCTCAATCTCAGAACTTTATAGGAATACAGTCTCTTTCTCAAAGAGATGCTGTCATCTTAGTAGACTTTCAAATTTTGTCTTGTTATTGAATAAGACAAGATGCGTCCCATTTTCTGTTTAAGGGGAAAACTCTTATAAACCAACTTGAATGAAAGAGAAAACACAGTGATTTTTGAAATCGGTGCTGCAGTTCTTGAAAATTGAAGGAGGAGATCAAAGTTGGCATCTTTAGTATGGGTTTTGGGTGGGCTACTGTCCGTGAAACACAAGTTGGAGTCTTGCAGATACATGGTGGGGAAAGAACGAATTAGAACATGTCTGGTTTCAAAATGTTTGTCTCACATCGAAAAGATGTCATTTAAGCGTGATTATAAGATTCATTGGACTCTTTTCCCCACTCATTTCTAAACATAGGCGAGGGATAGCAAGATTAGGTGAAAGGAATGGCAGATAAAACGAGGGATAGGATTTACAGACATGAATTTTTTAAGCCAGTTTCCATGAAAATTGGCAGTTGTTTTTCGAATGATCAAGGGATGCATGAGAATGATTGGTCTCGCATTCAATTTGTACTAATTTGTTAATGAAATATTTGGTACTCTTTAACTTCAGTAAAACTTTATTCGTAGATACAAGATATAGCATTTTCCCACTTCTAACTACTTTCTATATATATTTAATAGCTGATAATTTTCTCTTTTTAGAATATAATTGTTTAAAAGACATCAAATCAAGTTTCAAGTTCAAACTAGACCAAACTAAATTGAAAAATTAAAGCCTAGTAGTGGATTCTAACTATACTCTCTTTTCAATGTCTGGAGACAACTTATTAAAGTTATGACCAGTCGTGTTAACAAGTATCTACATCATTATAGGTCACATTCTTCTATATGGTCATCTATAGATCTTTGCCACTTTTTTTCCATTGTTTTTATCCATGATTTCTGTCACATTAATTCTTCAACTGTACTGTAGTTATTACATCACTCCTTTCATGACATCGATGAGTCGCGCTGGAAAATTCAGAATCTTTGGCAGCTCGCATTTATACTGACGGTCATAGCATAACTGTAATTTTATTTGAAAAAAGACTAAAGAAGAAGTAAAACAATATCGCAACAATTCTTTTAGGTTAGGAAAACACTATTTATAATTTGAGAGATTATTTCTGTTCGTTTGGGTTGATTTGCAAAGATCGAATTGCACTGATTTGCGAGATACCTGATTTTATCCATCTCGTCCACGATAATATTAAAGTTATTCGAGTGTTTGAAACTAAGAAGAGGAAGAAAAATGAAATTTAACTCACGTATTCGGTTCCAAAAATGCATGTATTCGATTCCAAGCTTCTGAACAAAAACAAAGTAACTCATATTCGGTTCCAATGTCCCTATATTCAGTTCCTCCATTATGCAGAAGTCTCCCAAGCCATTTATTCGGTTTCAATGTGTGAATCTCATCATTGGACTTTCATTTTCGTATTGTTTTTTAATATATTCATTTCTATCATTTCAACTTGTAGATATTTTTTCCAGTTTTATCATTTGAAGCATGTTACTTGGTTGAGATGGCTTTAATGTCTCTGTAATTCATTACTGAATCATTATTCTTTTTTCTCCTGTAGAGCAAGCATCGCCTTCTCCTATGCTCATCAATTTTGTTCTCTTATTTCATTTTACTAAATTATAAACTTTTAAAATTAATTTTAATATTTTTTCTTTATAAAAATTTTTACAATTAAAAATAAATTCATTTTACTAAAATATATTTTTTTTAATATTAAAATTAATTTTAATAATTAATGTTAATTTTTTACTCTTTATAAACATTTTTACAATTAAATATAACATTAACAATTATCATTTTATATTACTTTAATAACTAGGGACATTTTGGTAATCTTCAATTTTTACCAATTAAACAAATTTTTTTATCTGTTACATTAATCAAATTCTACACTAATTCTCACAGACTTTACTTCCAAATCCACTCTCAATTGCCCACAAATCCACTCAGAAAAACAACAAAAATATTACCCTCAAATCGATTCAATAACTCTCCCGCAAATCATCTCCCACAAATAATGTGAACACACCCTTAAGGTATATAAACTCCGATTTCTTACATGAATTAAAACAATATTCGCAAAAAATCTTTTAGGCCTTGTTTACTTGAGTGGATTTGAGGGAGAGTAATTGAGGAGATTTGAGAGGATTTAAAAATAATTTTTTTTGTTGTTTATTTGAGTCAATTTGGAGGTAAGTGAGAATGAATTTGGAAGTAAAGTTTGTGAGAATTAGTGTAGAATTTGATTTACGTGACAGATTAAAAAAATTTACTTTCAAATCCAATCTCATTTACCTCCAAATTCACTCAAATAATAAACAAAAAAATTTATTTTCAAATCTTCTCAAATCCCCTCAATTACTCTCCCTCAAATCCACTCAAGTGAACAAAGCCTTAAGGTAAAGAAAATATTAATGGTCCATTGATCAATCATAACCAATCTGTAATTAGATTAAATATTCATAAAACTGAAATTGCTCTGGATTTCATATTTCTCATATACCCTCTGAATTTTATATTTTCATTTGCCGAGTAAAATTGACCTATTTTTGTTAAAAGATGGAGGCGGGGGAAGATACATAATTTATTATAATTCCAAAAGCTTAAGTTAATAAATGAAAACAAGTAAATGGTTTTATATTATATTTCTGACACGAATGAGAGCTTTATACACAGATAAATTGCCTTCATAGAGGCATGTAAAACCAATACAAGTCTACATTCTTGGTAAATAGAAAAATGAAGACTCCAAACCCCAGTTTCTTTTCCTGAGGAGAATAGGCAAAACAATGATGAATCAACTAGTAAGAAGATCACGTCATATCCCAGACCTCACATAATCTCCACCTGAATCACAGAAATGCATGATTCCGATCACCGAAATAAAACATTCTAACAAGGGAGTCTGTTTTAAATTTATATCAGTAACCGGTAGTAGATGAAACCAAAACATTGTGCTCCTTTAAACGTTTCTGAAAATGAGCTAAACGGGTTTGCAACTGCAGGATGCCAGCTGCCTTCTGAGAAAGAATGGCATTTAGTCTTGTTATATAATCATCCAGTTGATTCCCTGGTTGATCTGCTTCAACCAAGAGGTTCATCTCCTGCATGCCATGTGCAGATAAAAATATGAATGAGAAATAGAATTCGTATTTCTCGATTATAGGATCTATTCATATAATTATTCCTAGAATGAATAACACCATAGGCAGTATTCAGTAAGAGATTCAATAAATTTTAAGTTTGGTGTGAATATATCAATGTTCTTGATGAAAACACGCACAAAATTCCTGAGATGATATTCATAAAAAAAAAGTTAAGTACTCACTACTGTAGTCGTATTCAATAATCTTAAGAAACATCACTCAAATTCCTAAGAATAAATGTAAAGATACAACAACAACGACAATTTAGTACCTCTCTAACAATATTCATAGTCTCCTCTACTTGTGTCCGGTGAGCATTTACTAGGTCCTCTTCTTCCTGAAATAAAGACACGCATTAAATAAAGATCAGCCATTACTTTTGTAATATACCCGTTATCTCAGTAGCCATCAACTTACCTGTAAGAGGGCATTTAAATCATCCTCATCGTGTGTGGTTTGAGCCTCAACTTTTGGGAGGTCATTCCACTTCATCAGACCACTGGGTTTCTTCAATTTGTCATCAGTTGTAGCATATGACTCCATCTTTACATTTTTCTTCAAAGATGGTTTCACCTGCTCGTAATACTCTTCAGGGGGACTAAAATCATCCCCTTCATTTTCATCTGGCCATCCATCAGTTGTGCGATCCTCATAGGCTGATCCAGTAATGGAAGATAAAGGAACCGCGCTTGATTCTTTAAGGTTGAAATTTGATGATACAGCATCTTTCTTTGTATTGTTCCCTTTCGACAAGCTTTTCACCCTGGTTTGTAACAGCAAAATATTATTTTTAGGTTAGCACATGGGTGGGTATGTTGTGTTTGACTGAGGAATGATGCTGGTGGTTTGGAAGGAGTGGGCCATACAGAACTACACCTATCAGAAAATTCACGTTACCTGTCAGCATATCTTAATGTATTCAGCGTATGTTCGCATGAACCAGTGCTTGGTGATATGCATGAAATCATAACTGTGCGGGAGTTGCCAACAAATGAATCCCTCAAAACTTCAGTCAGTTTACTGCCTCTGAAAGGGATGTGTCCTTGGTCATTATCAAGAGCTCTTATACATTCCTTTAGCGCAAGTAAGCTCTTATTGATTTCAGCGCCTTCTATTCTGAATCATATGGTTGTACACAAATGACGCAACAACAAAAATACATTAGACTAACCTGAGAATGTCATAGGGATGCAAACAATTCAGAATAGAATCAAATTCTGAGACAGCTTCAATAATAATTATACCCAAATTTGGAATCTAATCTAATCTTAATTTATATTCCTTAATTTGACAAGACAGATCCATATTAAATAATTCAAGCTTAATCAACCTTGTCTGTTTGTCATTATCTGTGGTGTCTGCTCCACGCTCACTTCCAGCAAGATCTATGAAGGAGAGCTTGCCAACCAAACGGGGAGGTTTGGATTCATTTCCATCAACAGACCTCTTGATAGCAAGTTGAAGTATTGCATGTGACCGTGACGATTCCTCGTTTGCACCAGTGGTGCCTGTACTTCTAGTGGAATTTCCTTTCTCAATCAGTTCTTTGATGTTCTCCACATCTGATACTCGGTACTCTTGCAAACCCACAATGCAAACTTGCTGCTTACCATCCTCCCTCATGCAAAGTTTTCTGCACAAGTACAACTTTAATTCTCGAGAACACAGATTACAGGTGCAAAAAAGAAGTTATTTTTACTTACTTTCGATCATTAAGAAGATCAAAAAGTTTGCCACCATATATTTCAAAGAAGCTCACAAACAATTGAAATCCCTGGTTTCTGTAAGTATGATGCATCAATCTAAGGATGTCCCTTGATGCTTTAAGTGGCAGTGGCTTCATAGTGTAAGTTTTTCCGCTTCCTAGAAGAACAGAAATGCTATTTAGAAGCCCACTCATAATACAAATCATTGAAGTTAAGTTGTCAGCCTAAACTTTTTGATTTTTGGTCAACAACTAAGCCTCAAAACAATTTTAGAGACTGAAAAGAAACATGGAAATCCCAAAGAGATGTATGATGTAAAGCGGAAATATCACTTTACAACTTGGCATAAAATCAGCATGTCTTCAGGCAAAATGCAATAGCAACAAAATCAAAATTCAGAGGGTGTCATCACCTGTTTGTCCATATGCAAAGCATGTTGCCTTAGTGCGTTCAAAGATTATTGGAACTATAGGCTCTACTGTTTCACGATACACCTATAAAAAAGAATTTAAACAAAGTTACATAAGGATATAAAACCTGGTGTCAGCCTTCCGCTGAACTTTCATGTACACAATATTTACCTCATCATTTGTAACCTCTTCATTCAAAACAGCATCAAAAACAAATTCATGCTTTTCTACATACTGAGTTAAGTCCACCTGTAAAGCGTATAATTTTAAAATGTGTAAATATAAAACATCCATTATAGATAAT